TCTCTCTCATTTTATTTCAATCTGCTAAATTGGTACCGAAATCACCAAGCTTTCTCTCTGGATTCATCTAGCCAGGTTGGTTTCCTGCATTTGTCAGCTCTCATTGTAGTTTTCCTTTTGTTATAGTTCCATTTGATGTACATTGTGTGGCTGTGGTTTCTTATTCCTTTCATTTTTCTCCTTTTGGTTATTGAGGAACATACTAGGCTTTTATTTCTGGGAAACTTCTAGTATGAATTACCCAGAAGAAGTAAAGTTTAGTTCAAACCATTTGTAAATTCAAGGAGCAATTCGATGATTTTGATATAGGTTTTTGTTCTGAAAGTTGATTTCTTGGGGCATATGGTAAGTAGTAATTTGTTGGAGTTCAACAAAAATAAAATGATCATATATATAAATTCAGTTTATGGTTATCAATCTCCAAACTTCAATGTTCATTATTTGATTTGTTAGATGAGCTAATCATGATCTGGTTTTTAATTTCTTTACATTCCTGCAGAAGGTTGTAGATTTTGTTTTATTCATTAATGCTTACTTGGTTTATACAGAAGATGGAGCCCTAGATTCTGATCTGGATTGTGATGGGGCTGTTCTTATGGAATTGCTTATTGGTTTTGTTCATAATGCAGATTTATTGGGGTTTTCACCATTTAGCTGCAATATAATTCTGAAAGTTTGATTCCTGTAGGAATTTGGAGTGGCCACAGCTGAAGCAAAACCAAATTTTGGGGGGGGGGGAATGGAGTTTTCTAGGATTCTTATGATTGGTTTTTTTGTGTTGCTCTTATGCTCCTTGGCATATGGTCAAGTTGCTAGTCCTCCGGAGCCCCAATACGACACCGGCACCGACACAAGCTTATGTAAACCTCACTTATCTTAGGGGTAAATTAGCTTTAGGCCCTCTAGATTTATGTATTTTGTACAAAACAGTCCCTCATTTGTTTTAAATGTTCATATGTCATTTATGTTATTTTCCATATTATTTTAGCTTAAACAGAATAGGATCAATTACATATAAGACCCTGTAGTTTATGCACATTTTGTATTTAAGTCATTGGTTTAATTCTAATTTTGTAAGTTTAATTTTACATTTACATGAATTTAATCATCATTCTAAAGTTAGTATATTTAGCTTAAATTAATCTTCACATTTAGATTTCTCTTAATTTAGTCCCTATTTAGGATTGTTTTATTTAATTAGTTGTGCATATTTATTTTGCATGTTAATATGCTTATGTATAAGTATGCGAATGATTTATTTAGAAGTCACATAACATCATTTTACATAATTTGTATGTTACCTTAATGTGCATAACTTAAACCCTAAACCCTATCACATAATTAGAAGGAATGAGATGGCTTAGTGAAAGGAGAGAGTGTAGACTTGTTTTTCTTTTGCTTTCCTGAAGAACAAAAATCTAATAAGAAGCTTAAGTCTTTTTTATTTCTGCTCTTCTGCTCTTCTTCTCTTCTCAGTCTTCTCTTTATTTACTGCTTTGATTTTTCAACTCTGCAATTATTACTTTTTTTCAAAGTAGAATCTAGTAATGCATATATATCTATCTTGTTTTACTTTATATGGTACATGTTAGTAGTAGGGATGATCATTTTATCTCAAATATGATTTGATGCCATTAATTTTGTTAATTAAGATATTAATGTAAGTCTAAATGAGTTTTTTCTTTCTTAATTCTTTATAAAATCGGGTACACTATATTTTGATATATTTTTTAAAATTATTAATATTTAAATTGAATAATATTTTTTATTATATTATATTTATTGTCAAATAAAAAATTAGTTATGAGGTAAGTACAATATAGTATCTTGATATTAAATGTTCAAACCCTTGATATTTATTATATTTGAACCCGAAACCTCAAAATATAACAACAATTTAAAAAATTAGTTATTAAAAATATTATTATTAGAAATATGTTAAATTTTCTCATTAGATAAATAATTTTAATATATTAAAATTAAAATTTGAGGGTAGTTGTATTATAGAATTTTTAATATATTTTTAAAATTTTATAATTATCAATAATGTAGTTTTAATATATTTTTAATAATGTAATTTTAAAAAAAACTAAAATTATAATATAATATTTTTTCGAGCTGCTCACGAGATTTTCGAGTTGAATATCGAGTAGCTCGTTTCAGCTCATTAAGAACTCAAGTCGAGCTCGAGCTCGAGTCGAGTCCATTCGATCAGAGTATTTATCGAGCCTTGATCGAGTCGATCTCGAGTAGCTCGCGATCTGTCTCGTCTCATTTACAACCCTACCTCCGGCAGTCAGAATTATAAATTGCCCACCGTGGGACTCGATCCCACGACCACAAGGTTTGCGTTCTACCAACTGAGCTGGACGGGCAATATTATATAAAATAAAATTATACTTCTAAATATTAGATCCAAACCTTGATCCTTAAATTCATATCTTAAGCCATAAACTCTAAAATTATACCCTCTTCTCCCCCTATTTCTTTGCCTCCGGCCACCCTACATTCCGCCACTCCTCCATCGACTTCTCCACTCTTCTCTAAATTTCTTTATTGTAAAAAAAACATTAAGTATCCCAATGACATTATTCTTCTGAGTGAACACAACTCTTGATCAATCAAGCATAAATAAGGGGCAGACCGTCGATCTCTAAAATAGACAACAACATCATGTTTAAATGAATTTAAGGTCCTAGATAATAACTTAAAGTCACAATAAGGTTCAATTGTTTTTTCAGTGATAGCCCAATAATGGGAATTATGAATGGAGGAAATGGAAATTAAGAAGTCAAGATAAAGTTGGTGGTCCAAGAGTCGTCGGACAGGGCTATCAATAATTATAACCTCGTAACTTTTATTGGACAGGAGAAGGGCAATGACCCAACCGTAATAGTCATCTGTGCCAAAAACCATGACCCATTGAGGCTTCGAAGAATCACTCCGAGACTCGATAGAACCAGGAATCGTGAGAAGTGGAAAAGTCGGTGAAGAAATGGCGAAATATGATGTGGCTGAAGGTAGGGAAATAGGGGGTGAGAGGGCATAATTTTGGGTTTAGGGTAAGAATTTGAGATTAGGGTTTTTTTCTAATATTTATTAGTATAATTTTGAGTTTAAATTTTATTTTTATTATAATCTTATATGATATTAAAATAGTAATAAAATATACCACATCATATGAAAATAATAAAAAAATAATTCATGTCATCGTAGAGTGATTAAAACAGAAACAATTTAAAAATTAAGTAATTAAATTAAAAAAATTTATACTTTAATGATCAAAATAAAGGTGAGAAAATAATTTAATGATGAATGATGTAATTTATCATTTCTCATATGTAATAGATGTGTGGTTATAAGTGACTTCTCAGAAGAACGTGGATGCATCAAAAGAGTCGTAATCCTAAAACAACATTAAGAAACGTAGTGCTTTACCCACGCTCTACCGCATAGCGTGTGAAGCGCGTACCACTTAATAACAGGATTTTTACGAGTGAAAGTGTCGTTATATAGGTGGATTGTAGTATGGAGGGAACATACATATTTTATTCTCCCTGCATATGTGATTTAATACTTGGTCTCTAAAGTATTTTATATTTTGGTATTTGAATTTTTGTTTTTCTAATATTTAATTTATTCTTAAATTAAAGTTAATTTAAAAATTAATCAGAGGTCAAAATCTTATAGAGCAAATAATTAAAAACTCTTAGTTAATATTTTTTTCTTCCTTAAATTGTGGGTTCAATACCCATTATGAGTAAAATTATCTTTCCCTCTCTAGATAAAAATTGTTCAAAATAATAATTGTCCCGGTCGTCTTTCGGTTGGGCTCGAAATTGGAAGCTTCGACTTAGATTAAATGGATTAGGAGTCGTCACCGATCATTTATTTAAAATAAATGGATTGATCGGATACCTTATTTATTACTTGATATGCATCTTACCAAAGATGTTTCGAATTCGGGAGTCAGTTACACTCAAGGAAGGGTTAACACCCTTGAACTGCCCTTTCGGTACTATGTAATTTCCAGTTTTCTTAAGTCAAGAAAATTGTAAGTTAAACTAAAAGGTAAAGATATGATCCGAGTTACTTACATTTGACTAATTGAAATACCCTTAAGAGATAAAAATATTAGATTCGTGGTGGCGTATAAAGTCAAATTAAGACAGCAAGTGCACAAATATGAAAATAATAAACAAAACAAGAAAAGAAAAAATAATAGAGCATGTAAAAAATAATAAAAAATAAACAAAATAAATAAAATGGTAAAAAAATAAATAAAAATAAAGATAAAGAAAAAAAGAATTAATGGAGTAAAAAAGATAAAACAAAAAAAGGAAAAAAAATTAAAAAAAAGAAAAAATAATGCGTATATATATAAAGTGGTGTTTACTAAAAAATAAAAGAATGATAAATATATGATACTATGTAAAACAAAAAAAAATAAAGATATACATAATATTAGATAAAAAATAATAGTAATAATAGAAAAAATAAAATAAAGTAAATATATATATAAATGTATAAAATAAAACCTTAGGAAAACATAGTAAAATAATATTCATAATAAATAAATAAAAATAATACATATATATATATATATATATATAAATTTATATAAAATATGTATAAAAAATAATAATAAAAATATAATATAATATAAAATAAATAAATAAATAAATAAACAACCAAAAATAGAGAAATATAGTAAATAAATAGGAAAATATAACTAAATATATATAGGGGATTAAATTAAATTAAAAAAAATTAAATGATAAATTTCAAAGAAAATTAAAGGTTAAAATTGATTAAGGGGGCAATATTAAATACTCTAAAAATGGGGGGACCAAACTGCAATTCCCCCTTATTTTTCAAAACACGCGGATCATGAGAGGGAATGGGTCGGGCCGCGGGTCGCACGGATCGGATCGGGTCTTGGTATAAAACCTAAAAACCAAAAACACTTCTCATTTTCCTCCCCCAAAAAATCAGATCAAAGCCCTTTCCAAATAATCCTCTCGCGTGTTCTTGAGTGTTCTTCACTCTTGAAGAACATGGCCGCAGTTCCCAGATTCCAGCGACCCCGTCGTTCATCGACGGCGAAAGTTTTTTTTTTCTTTTTTGAGAGCTTATCTCCCCTTCCTTCCAAAAATCAAAGAAAGTTTTTAAAAATAATGGGCCTCGGGGGTAGATCTAGAAAAGTTTCGAAAAAAAACCCCTTCCCGGACATTCGAGCTGTAAATCGAGAATAATCAATATGCAAGCAACCATCAAAACGAAACAAAGGTAACAAAATTTCTACCTTTTTTATTTCTCTGATTTCGAAAATCACAAATGAATTTTTGAGATTTCTTGTGTATTTGCCTTGGGTATTTTTTGTGATATCGTGTACAACCTTGTAGTGATATTGTCCAATCATCGTGTGTGGTGCTTGATTTTATAGGTGAAAATAATGCTATTTTTAGGTGTTTATAACCGAGTAAAATGCTAATGTTATTTGTTGTGTTTGTTGGTGACGAATGGGTCTCGTTCGTTAGACATTTCGGGACTGTTAAGGGATTGGCATGTTTACCCACGATGGGAGCCTCAGAGCTTGGACCGCGCTGTTCCTTCCCTGCCTCCTGATGGGATTGATCTTCTCTCCGTATGTCTACCTTCTTTTACTATAACAAAACATCATATTATACTCATGTTTTGTCTACTATATGTCTTGATGAAGTAGTTTCCTTTTAGCATCAACGATGCTACATGTTATAGTTTAAGAAGGAAAGAAGGTAGGATTAAAAATTCTTTTGGTGCTTCTGTTAAGCTGCTATCAAGCACACTCCAATAACGTTCATTTATGTATTCAAGTATAGGGTATAGATAATTGAATATGATCCTCAAAATATATGAAAAAGTTTAGAGAAAATTAAGCACATTCGTGTTGGACGATAATTGTATTCAACACTTATCCAAGTATAGCTCTAAATTATCAGGAGGCCTAAAGGGTCTTCAAATCTTCATTCTTCAACACTTATCCAAGTATGCTTTTATCATGTCTCCACCTGTGATTAGGACCAAAATGGTAGAGAATATATAGAGAAAAACATTGAAGCAAATTAGAATCCACATGGAATTTCGTTGCATGTTAATCAGGATTATAACAATGGTTTGAGTGATTCAAAAGTAAAAACTATTTAAAGAATAGGAACGAACAATTAGCATATACAAGAAATTTGTCAGTTATATCTGTCAACCGATCATTGTACAGAGGTATATGCACACCAAAAGAAGGAACTGAATATAGTTGCATTGGTGCCTGCAACTTACTCGTTTAATTTCTATTTCCTTAGCCTCTTGCAAGTAGGTCAGTTTCAAGTTGCAAATAATTTCCTAACAATAGAACACATAAATCTTCATGTTCATGCTTTATTGATTTACCTCTGCATTGCAATTTTTGAAGGCTAATAGCTTGCTGCTTTTTGGTTTTTGCAGAAAATGCTTAAATATGATCCTGCAGAGAGAATATCAGCAAAAGCAGCAATGGATCATCCTTATTTTGACAGCCTTGACAAGTCCCAATTTTGAATTTGCATTGCTTTTTTTATTGTATTATATGGATTTTAATCTTCTTGCTTAGAATGGTAATATTTCTATTCACTGGGTGCTCACTTCCTTGAGTTCAAAGTATGTGTTGGGGAATCAGTTGTCATCAGCTAGGTGATCCAAACAATATTTTACAAATGAATCTTTTAGATTGGCTTCTATGTTGCCTTCTGTTGAAGTTTGTAATGCTTGATATATCAACTAGTTACATGTGAAACTATTCTTCTTACTGATTTAATGTGGTTTGAATCTTTTCATTTTGAGCATGTATGTATATATATATTTGTAGAAACAGAGTTTTTCGTATCTGGTAACAAAGTTTTTGATTTTGAAATTATTTTTATTCAAAGAATAATTGCATCTAACATAAGAGGGTACATAGGCTTTTTATACACATGAATTAGAGACAGATGAAATTGGAGTCATCTTTTCTAAAAAAAATTAAGAAGTAGTTTTAGAGATAAATTAGGAAGAAGAGTTTAACTTAAACACTACTTACACTTCCCCTCAAGCTAGGGAGTAAATATTGTGAAGACCCAGGTTGGATGTAATTTCTTCAAAGGAAATCCTTGGAAGTGCCTTGGTCAATATATCGGCTAGCTGGTTTTGTGAAGAGACGTAGTAAAGTTTCACAGTTTCGCCATTTACTTTTTTTGCAATAAAGTGTCTGTCGATCTTCACATGTTTTGTTCTGTCCTGGTGCACTGGATTCTTTGCAATGCTTATCTCAGATTTGCTGTCACTTTGAAATTCAAAATAGTTGTTGTCGCACATCTCTAGTTTGGTTAAGAGTCTTTGTAGCCAAATTCTTTCACATATCCCGAGTGCTATTGCCCTATATTCTGCTTCTGTACTGCTCTTGGAGACTACTGATTGTTTCTTGCTCCTCCGTGTTACTAGGTTTCGCCATACAAATGAGCAATATCCGGTGGTTGACCTTCTATCTTTTGATTCTCCAGCCCAACTTGAATCTGAGAAGATTTTAACTGTTCTGTATTCATGTTTTCTGAAAATCAACCTATGTCCTGGTGTCATCTTTAGATATTTTAAGATTCGATTGACTACCTCCAGATGTTATTCTCTCGGATCATTCATGTATTGACTCACAATGCTAACAGGAAAAGCAATGTCAGGTTTAGTTAGAGATAGATAAATGAGTTTACACACCAACCTCTAATAATGGTCCTTGTTTATTGGGTTTCCATCTTTACTCAATTTTAAGTTAACTTCCATAGGAGTTTCCGAGGACTTACAATTAGTCATTCTTGTTTCAGAAAGTAAGTCTAGAATATACTTTCTTTGATTTATGACAATTTCTTCTCGTGATCTCGCTACCTCCATGCCTAGGAAATATCTTAGAGTTCCCAAATCTTTGGTTTCAAATTCCTTTGATAGTAAAGTCTTCAACTTTTCGATTTCAACTAAGTCATCACTCGTGATGATGATATCATTAACGTAGACAATCAAGATTTATTTATAAACAGTGTGTGATCAGATTGACACTGTTTGTAGTTGTCTTGTAATATTACTTTCATGAATCTATCAAACCAAGATCGAGGTGATTATTTTAGACCATATAAGGATTTCAGTAATTTACATACTCGATTATTTCTAGAATGAATTCCTGGTGGAACTTGCATTTAGACCTCTTCTTCAAGATTGCCATTGAGAAATGCATTTTTCACGTCTAGTCGGTGAAGTATCCAATCCTTGTTTACCGTTAAGGATAATAGAACTCGAACAGTGTTGAGTTTTGCAACTGGAGCAAAGGTCTCATGATAGTCAACTCCATAAGTCTGAGTGAACCCTTTTGCCGCAAGTCTAGCTTTATATCTCTCAAATTTTCCATCTGCCTTGAATTTCACAGTAAAGACCCATTTGTAGCCGACTAGTTTCTTGTCTTTAGGTAGATCGACGATGACCCAGGTTTTGTTGTTTTCTAGAGCTGAAATTTCTTCTTCAATTGCCTTCTTCCACTCAGGACTTTTTAACGCCTCCTCTATGGTTTCTGGAATGTGAATCTGATCAACCTGAGCTGTGAAAGTCTTAATACCAGACATTAGTTTCCTATAAGCAACAAATTTACTAATAGGATGAGTTGTACATCGTTTAACTCCCTTTCTTTGAGCAATTGGTAACTCACTAGTATCAATTACCACATCCAACTTACTTTGGTTACCATCTCCTTCGTCTGTCGATGAATTTAAACCCGGTTCTGGCTCTTGACAATGCATTGGTTGTGGTGTGGAAGGTAGAGCTTGTTTGGGTCATCTTTTGTATATAAGAATATCGGTAGAAAGTCTAGGTGTTTTATGAGAGTCGTTGGGATTAGTGGATTGGTTTTCATTATCAGATGTGGTGGTGTTAGGAGGTTGTGGAGTGGTAGTTTTTTCAGTAGAAGATGGACTGATGGGTAACTCAGTAATAATCGGTAAAAATTGAAATTCAGACTCACTCTACCCCTGGATTTCTGTTTTTGAGAAGAACGGTTTATGTTCATGAAAAGTGACATCCATAGATGTGAAGAATTGTTTTGTAGAAGGAGAGTAGCAACGATAACCTTTCTGATGGGATGAATAACCAACAAAGACACACTGAATTGCCCCGAGGATCAAGTTTAGATTTATGAGGATTGTGGTCATGGACAAAGGCAGTATAACCAAAGACACGAAGAGGAACGGAAGAGGTAAAAGGTTTGAAATGAGGGAATTTAGTGAAAGGATATCCAGTGGACACTTAAAGACAAGAAGTTTACTAGGCAAACGATTGATTAGAAAAGTAACTGTTAAGAGAGCCTCACCCCAAAGGTATTTTGGAACATTAGAAGAAAAAAGGAGTGCTCGGGTTACCTCACTATTATGTGTATAATTAATGAAGTAATATAAAATGCATTAAATTAGATAAAGAAATAAAATTCTACCTCTATATTACGTTAGTGCATAGCCACATATATTGTGCAAGTTTACATATTTTTCTCAGTATGTATTATTAATGTGCTCTTAAATTATTATTATAGAATATGAAAAAAAAGTGAATACTTTAATAAGCAAACAGAATTACCAAGCCACAGAAATGCTGTTCACTTAACAGGGTAACTAGTCCATATCAATACTGCTGAGGCCTCTTTCATCAGAGACTTCACGTTGCATCCTTATATAGCCGGATTCGCCCCGGGAGGTGCCCCAGGAATTCTTAACCAGCCAGTACTTGTTGCCGTTATCTTCTCCGTAGCCAACTACTGTAACTCCATGGTTGAGTTGATATCCACAATCTCCGGTGAAGATACCGCTACTGTAGAATTGAAATTCATACCCTCCTGCATCGATGGCAACTGATACAGGTTGCTTGGCTACTCCAACTAGCAGGCTTTTTTCCATGTTTTAATGTAATAATTTGTATCCACTAATCGTAGCTGCATTAATTGTAGTTTCTTTATCCTTGCAACTGCCATCTGTTCCCAAGTATGGGTAGTCTTTATCGGCGGCGATTCCACCTTTCTTTATGATGAATTCGAATGCTTTGGTCATGTCTCCACCGTTGCAGCCTTCGTTAAACGAGTTGGTGTCACAATCAACCAGTTCTTGTTCTGAAAGAGATATCAACTTCCCGGTCTTAATTTGATTTATCCCTTCTACGGCCGCCACTGCCGAGAACGCCCAACAACTTCCGGTATCATCACAAGGTAGGTGATGTTAAATCATGCTCGACATCAATGCCACACATTAATTTTTTTTTTGAGGATAACAATTCATTAACAAAGCAAATAAGTGTCATACCACAGCTGCCTTGATCTTTGACACCAGTCACTGCACCTTTCTTTCTCCAGTCTATGCTCTTTGGCAAATCGTGATACTTGTCTTGTTGGAAGCTCTTGGTCTCACCTGGAGACCTTAACCTCTGGTAACCCAAATACACAGCTCTGAACTCATCATTTAACATGTCTGCAAATTTGTTGTCAACCAACTTGTATGATAGGTGTCGTAACCGATTTTCGTCCGTGGGCGACGAATCTCGACTTATTTAGTGAAAACCCGATTTTGTAAAAGAAATGTTTCGGAGTCGACATCGACCTTTTGAATTAGGTAGGTCGAATACTTAAAAATTTTCTTTTAAAAGAGTTTTTAGGAAAACGTCATTTAAAAGATTTATCGATCTACGTGTAACCAAAAATTCATTTTTAATAAAAAAAATATTCGGGGGTCGGTTACGTGTGGGGAATGATAAACACCCTCACAACGCCCAAAATTAATACCTATCGATTATATATTGTCTCAAAATAGTAGAAATCTAAGATTTTGAATACATATTTAAGTTACGATTCAATTATTCTGAATTCAACCAAACAATATTGTAGGACAAAAATTCTTAAGAAAAAATAGAAAATATTCCCATATTTCCAATTGTAAGATAAAAATTCTTAAGGAAAAATAGAAAATATTCACGGGAAAGGTGAACCATTCTAGAGACAAGAAGAAGGCTTATTTGTGAGAGATTTTCAAATTATTTTATTTCATACTCAAATGCTCAATTTTATTTTGTCATAACAATTTTTTGACTTTATTTTACTGTTTGCCATAACATTTCACAATCCACACTTCAATACTTTTCCACAACATTCTTACTCATTTGTTTATACCACCGTATAAACTATATTTATTTCATATATTTTTGGTGCATTAGCTTAGTTTGGGAATCCATTCAATTCCTGTGGAGACGATACTCACTCACTAATATATTACTTATTCGATTGTGCATACTTACACAAATTTACGTTTAATTTATAGACTCACATACGCAACAATATGAAATTCTCTAGGTCATTTGTTATAGTAATTATGGAATTCTCTATGTCCACAAGACAATTATTTGAAATATATTAATTTAATGGAACTTGTTGTTTCAGCAGGACGAGTTCTATGAGATTTATTTTTTAAATTCAATTTAATAGAACTTCTGAACTTCTCATATCACCAGGACGAGTTTAATTTTTTTTATTGTTGGTATTTTTTCAATTTTTTTAAATTTAAAGGAAAACAACATTCCAATAGGACGAGTTCCCATACGTAGCCATTGCGATGACCATTTGAAAAGTTTTAAAAAATGTTAATCAAGGGTAACCATCATTCCAGTAGAACGAATTAAATATTTGGAAGAAA